AGCCAGGTGGGACTATAAGGAGATCCTGCTTCAAAAAAAAAAAAAAGCCCATTTGGCACTTTCTCCTTTATTAATCCCCTCTTCTAATAGACTCTTGGCCCACTTTCTAATATAAATGTATCATACAGTGTTACTCCTTGAAATTCTTCAGCACTGCTTACCCATTTTCCTTTCACGTAAGTCTAGAACTAAGTAGGCAGATTTACAATCTCTCGGTAAGCGAGAAGCAAAGGTAAATAGGCTAGAGACAGAACAAACAAAATACTTCCTCATTCAAACCTGTTGTTGTTTGCTGTTACAAGACCCAAAGGCTGACTGTTGCTTGTAATGGTGTTAATTGCCAACTTGACAGAATCTAGAATCATGTGGAAGATGGGCCTCTAGATATGCCTATGGGGAATTAATTGAGGTGGGAAGACCTGCCCACTATGTTAGCACCATTCCGTCTGGGATCCTGGACTATATTATATAAGTGGAGAAAGGGAGCTGAACAGCAGCAAACATTCATCTCTCTCTGCTTCCTGATCATGGATTTGATGACCAGCTGCTTCAAGCTCTTCACTTCCCCTCCATGATGGCCCATATCCTTTTCTCCCTTAGGTTGCTTCTGTTAAGAGTATTTTATCACAGCAAGAGGAAAATAAACTAAATACTGCTAAATCTACTTCAGGAGCTCAGCATGCTTTAGTGCCACCACTGGAACCCCTGACATGTGCAAATCAGTCTGTGGGGTTTTTTTTTGGGGGGGGGGGGGAGACAGGTTCTTCCTGCAGCCTCAGCTAACCTAGAACTCCCTATGTAGACCAGGCTGGCCTGGCCTTAAACTCACAGAGATTCGCCTGCTAGGACTATAGTAGGTGTGCGACACCACACCCAGCTTAAGTCTATTATTCTTGAAAACACTCAAAACACCTAAGCTCTACTGTGCTTAGGATGATGTAAAAAGTAGCCCTAATACATCTGTTTTGCTTCACAACTCTATTCCTTAAGTATCATATTACTAAAGTCTGCCCTCTAGATTTTTTATAAAGATTTCCCTGTAAAAGCTCTTCTGAGCACTTTATAGCTCCTGCAGCTCAAGATTTTCGAATCAGGATATGTGGTGGCTACTTAAGGTTGGAAAGGACATCTCTTTCCTCTTTTCACCATTAACCTTGGTTCTAAAACACTATCAATAGGATGAATTTCTTTCCTCAAAATGCCTTGTGTTCTCCTAGTAAAAAAAATTAGTTTCCTTTCCCACTGGCCTTCAAGCCAGGCCTACATGTGTGATTTTCAACTGAGCCAAGAGAGTTCGTACTGAGACACTTGCCACACCAAGGTGAGAATCTGCAACTGTAAATCTGCAAATCGAAAGCAACGTAATTCAAATAAACATTAGTGAGTACTTATTGCTCTGTGACTCTCTTGCTATAATTATATTAATCTCATCGAAATCAAAAGTGTGATACTTTTTTAAACAAAACTTGATTTCTCCTGTCCATCCTCCATATACCCCAAACAGCCTACAGTTTAAAATGGCCCTTCTACCCTCGACACTCTGCAATAAGATGCATGACTCATTTACATTTTTTAAATTATGAATCCTGGGGCTGGAGAGATGGCTCAGTGGTTAAGAGAACTGACTGCTCTTACAGAGGACTTGGGTTCGATTCCCAGCACCCACACGAAGGCTACGAACCGTACTTAACTCCAGTTCCAGGGGATTCCGAAGCCGTCTTCTGACCTCTGCGGCATTGCATGACACAGGTGCACTCACACACATGCAGGCAATACACTCACACACATAAAATAAAAATACTAAATAAAGTATTTTAAATTATGAATCCTATCATTTACCTTTCTCATTCAACCAAATGACTCCCTATAACTCTATACCATAACTAAAGGACAAAATCTGGCCTTTCCTTTTATTAATATGCCAAACCAAATTCTCCCCAGAAGGACTTTAAATATGCTGTCTACTCTGCCTAGGGCACTCCTCTAAAGTCAAGGAAGTGTGGGTTCTAACTCCCTGCAAACAGGTCTTCTCTGGCTACCGAATCTGAAGTACTCCCTTCCTCTTCTCTTGCACCAATTTAGCTTCTTCATAGCGTTTATCACAATTATTTATTTACCGAGAATTTTCTGTCTTACCAGACAAAAATGTAAGCTCCCCTTTTTTCCTATCTTTCCCTTTTAGTGGGGTTTTTTTTTTTTTTTTTTTTTTTTTTTTGGTCTTTTTGAAACAGGGTCTTCCTGTGGCCCCAGCTGGCCTGGAATTTGCTATGTAAACCAGGCTGGCCTCAAACTCACAGAGATCCACCTGCCTCTGCCTCCCAAGTGCTGGGATCAAAGGCATGTGGCACCATGCCCAGCTCCCCTTTGGTTTTTTGAAACAAGGTCTCACGTAGCCCAGGCTGGCCTAGAACTTGATAATGTGGATGCAGATGGCCTTGATCTGATTTTCCTGCTTCCACCTACCCAGTGCTAAGATGACAGGCATGCAATACCACAGCAGTACTGGGGATTAAACCCAGAGCTTTCTGCATGCTAGGCAAGCATTCTACCCATCGAGCTATATAATCAAACAAAATTCTGTCATATAAACCTACAATGTTCAATAATGTCTGACACATAAGCACTAAAATAGCTTTCTAATTGTCTGATTAATTTGCAAAGCTAAATACTTCTAAGGTAAACATGGTTTGGGGGGGTGTTTTTTTTTTATCTTTTTGAGACATGCAGGGTCTTCTTGTAGTCCCAGCTGTCCTGGAACTCACTCTGTAGACCAAGCTGGCCTCAAACTCAGAGATCCACCTGCCTCTGCCTACCAAGTGCTGGGATTAAAGGCATGTGCCATCACGCCCAGCTTATTATTATTATTTATGTGTATGAGTGTGTTGCCTACCTGTATGTAAGTGCACCCATGTCGTGCAATGCCCGCACAGGTCAGAAGGCAGCATCTGATTCCCCTGGAACTGGAGATACAGGCGGTTGTTAGCCACTATGTGGGTGCTGGGAATGGAAACTGAGTTCTCTGTAACAGCAGTCAGTGCTCTTAACCACTGAGTCATCTCTCCAGCCCAAGAGTCTTTATTCTAACTCCAAATGCCTTGAGGGTAACCTCACAGGAGTAGGAAGATTCAGTTCAGCCATCTGATTAATAGAATGTTCAAAAAGCTTTTTTTCTCCTCCTCCTCAGGCAGAAATTTTAATTGGAAAGAAAAAGGGAGCAGTACTAGTTTGGGGGCCTATAAAGCTTTAATAATGACCCTGACACCAGAAAAGGGGATCTTTTACCCAAGACTTTTTTTTTAAGTTATATGTTTTCATTACTTTTACAGTTCATGAAATAAACATTGAAAAGATGCCTAAATTTTATGCGGTGGGATGACGGCATTTGTTCAACAGAAGTCTATCAACAATTCAGGGAAACCTGGGAACAAGTACATTTTGAAAGGGATGAGATTACATTTGTCCAAATAGTAAATCTCACCCCAGTAACAGTTTTGGGGTACTAAGTAATCAGCATCTATCGTGGGACTTCAAGAGGCATTCCAAAGAATGTTCTTTAATTCTCCAAATACAAGCGTCAATTTATACAAATAGTAAATGAAGAAACTCCATAGGTACTAAAATAACTGTTCTCTTAATATACCTTTCCAGAAAAGATTGATCAAGCGGGTGCCCTGATATGGGGAGCACCAATTCATTGAGCTGGAGTCCCAATCAGGACTGAATAAAAAGGGAAAGAGGAGAAAGCCAACTTTGCACCAACATTCATCTCTCTCTGCTTCCTGACTGGGGGGGATACAATGTGACCAGTCACCTCACACTTCCTCAGCTAGGCCTTCATCTCCATAATGGACCAAGTCCCCTCAAACTGTGAGCCAAAAGAACTCTTTCCCGGACTAAGTTGCTTCTTACCAGGTATCTGGTCACAGAAGATCAGTCAGTAACCAATACAATTCCAAAGTACATCTGTCTCAGGGAAAAGCACCTGTGTAACTGAGTGGCACTGGACTTTTTGTTTTTCATAGAATATTTCACTTGAAAAGTATACATCTGTAACTCCAGTGCTGGAGGCTGAAGGGGTTGGCGGCAGAGACAGGAAGATACTGGAGGCTTGATGGTCAGCCAATCTGGCAGAAACAGTGAGCTCCAGGTTCAGAGAGAGACCCTGTCTCAAAACATAAGGTGGAACAGGGATGGAAAAATTGGCTCCACTGTTAAGAATACCTGCTGCTCTTGCAGAGTACTGAAGTTTGGTACCTAGCCATGCCTGTAACTTCATCTCTGGGGAATTCAACAGCTTTTCCTGGCCTCCTCAAATATCTGCACAAATATGTTCACACACAAACAAACATAAATTTAAAAAAATAAAATGAGCCAGGCCTGGTAGAGCACGCCTTTAATCCCAGCACTTGGGAGGCAGAGGCAGGCGGATCTCTGTGAGTTCAAGGCTAGCCTGGTCTACATAGTGAGTTCCAGGACAGCTGGGGCTACAGGGAGACCCTGTCTCAAAAAGACTAAAAAAAAAACAAACAAAAAAAAAAAAAAAAAAAAAAAAAAAAAAAGAAAAAAGACCAAAAAAATAAATAAATAAAATGAATCTTAAAAAAATAAGGTGGAGAAAAACAGAGGACACCCAAAGTAGACCTTTGGCCAAATGTGCATGCACACATGGGTGCACCCTTATACACATGTACACACATGCACATGCCACACAGTTATAAATATTATCAATATATAAGAAGCATATTATATTTAATGAATCAGGTTTATTTTCTTAAGTTTTTAAAAATTTTATGTGTATGAGTTTTGCCTTCATGATATAAGGTAACCACATGCATGTAGTGCCCATAAAAGCCAGAAGAGGGTGTTGGATTCCTAGAACTGGAGTTTCAGGCAGTTATGAGCTGTTATGTGAGTGCTGGGAACCAAACCTAGGTCCTCTGCAAGAGCAACAAATGTTCTGAACCATTGAGCCATCTTTCCAGCCTCTATAATAGTTTTTAAGAGTGAAAAGGGGCCAGGCATGGTGGCGCACACCTTTAATCCCAGCACTCTGGAAGTGGAGGCAGGCGGATCTCTGTGAGTTCAAGGCCAGCCTGCTCTACAAAGTGAGTTCCAGGACAGCTGGGGCTACAGGGAAACAGTGTCTCAAAAAGACCAAAAAAAAAAAGAAGGAAAAGAGTGAAAAGGAGCACTGGAGTGGTTCAGGACCCAAGTTCATGCCCCAGCACCTACAGAGCAGCTCAAACTGCCTATAACTCCAGCTCCAGGGGACCCTGGAGCTCTCCTGATCACTAAGGGCACTTGCACTCACATGCATATACCAACACAGAGACACAAACATACACATAGTTAGAAATTATTTTTTTTTTTTTTTTGAGACAGGGTCTCCCTGTAGCTCCAGCTAGCCTGGAACTCACAATGTAGACCAGGTTGGCCTTGAACTCAGAGAAATCCGCCTACCTCTGCCTCCCAAGTGCTGGGACTAAAGGCATGTCCCACCACATCTGGCCACAAACCTTAAAAGATGAATAAAAAGGTTTCAGAATAACTAAGTTTAAGAATGCCAATTAAAAATTTTCTCTGCTCTACTTATCCTTCAAGCCTTTGCTACTACATACAGGTCTCCATGATAGTTTAAACTAGGGTTAATCAGCTATAATTATTTTCTGAGGAAAAAACAAAGACCACATTGTTGTATAGCCACTTAATTATGTTTTGAATAAATAAAGTGAAAAAAAATCTAATGTTGAGGGGCTGGAGAGATGGCTCAGTGGTTAAGAGCACCAGATTCTTTTGCAGAGGACCCGGGTTTGATTCCCAGCACCCACATGGCATCTAACAACCATCCCTAACTCCAGTTCCAGGAGAAGCCAATGCCACCTTCCAACTCTGAGGGCACTGCATGACATGGGTGCACTTACACACATGCACGCAATACACTCATACACAGAAAATAAAAATAATAATTTTTTTAAATTAATGTTGAATTCTTCATTATTATAAGTATCCATCTGTGAAGTGTACAACCACATTGGTTATTCTGTACATAATTTGAATCAATTGTTGGTAAGAATGCACATTGTGGAAATGGAGGTTAGACATGCTCAGCATATACAAAGTCCTGAGTTCAATCCTCAGTAGTAAGAAGAAAAGAATGAACATTGCATATACAGTTCTACAATATCTATAAAAATTATAACGTGGCATGGCACACTCCTGCAACCACAGCACTCAGAAGGTAGAGGCAAGAGGATCTCAAACTGAAGGCCAACCTGGCCTACATGAGACCCTATCTCAAAAAAACCAAGGGCACCAGGCGTGGTGGTGCACGCCTTTAATCCCAGCAGAGGCAGGAGGATCTCTGTGAGTTCAAGGCCGGCCTGGTCTACAAAGTGAGTTCCAGGCCAGCTGGGACTACAGGGAGACCCTGCCTCAAAAAGACCAAAAAAACCACCAAGGGCTAGATGTATGTAGCTCAGTGACAGGGTATCTGCCTAGCATATACCAGACCCTGGATTTTATCTCCAGTGCCACCAAAAATAAAAAACAAAGCTGGTTATGACGGCAAAGGCCTCTAATCCCAGCACTTAAAGAGATAGACGCAAGCGAATCAGAAACTGAAAGTTGTCTCGGCTTTATAGTAAGTCAAAGTCACACTGAGCTACAGGAGACCTCATTTCAAAACAAAGCAAAACGAACAAAAAAATCCAAAATAACAAAAAGTATAAAATCTTTAGACATTTGCTTTAATACATACTAGCTGAAGTATAGAGCATTATTTCCAATTGCAAACATCTGGGAAACAAATAAGAGAGTAACAAAAATACACCATGCATAAATAACCAGTAATATTCTTCAGGAAAAAACAAAAAAAAACAAAATTTTTTTTCCTCTCTTAAATTTTATACCCAGAAAATCACATATGCTGAAGGCAAGTACTCTATTACTTCACTGACCTACATTCCAGACCCAAAAGTCCATATTTTGAAATGAGTATCCATGTGTGTGTATGTTATGTATACATAGTGTGCTGGCCTGCCAGCCTAGTATTATCTGCAAACCCCAGGTCCCAATCAGAGATGCTGTCTCAAAAAACAAGGGACAGGCAGGGCTGGAGAGATGGCCTCAGCAGTTAAAGAGCACTGGCTACTCTTGCAGAGGTCCCAAGTTCAGTTCCCAGCACCCACACAGACTATAACTCCAGTTCCAGGGGAACAGCATTCTGGCCTTCTCGGACATTGCACACAATATGGGTGAGCATATATGCATGTAAAACACTCATACACATAAGTAAAAACAAGAGGGAGGCCATCAAGATGGTCTTGTGGCCAAGGAACTTGTGGCCAAGGCTGACCACCTCAATCCCTGGGACCCATGTGTTAGAAGGAAAGAACCAACTCCTGAAAGCTGTCCTCTCACCTCCACATGCACACTATGTGTCCACATACATATACAGACAG